GTCGCTTTTTGCTATGACAACGCCAGACCACGTATATATCTAGCTACCGACATAAATTAAGAGAATGTAGATGGGAAATTTTAATGGATCCACTGTATTACCTAGGTCTCGCTTCATAAGATAATCATAGGTTCCGATTTCGGCAGAACCCCTCGAACGGTGGTAATTTGGTTCCACTGAAAGGATCCAAAAATCACTTGACACAATTCTTTGGCGAGAAACCAGTGAAGGTCTATAGGAACGGCATTATAGTGTTACCAGAATAATGGCAGGAGGTTATCGATCAAAATGGTGCACGTTTTGTTTAGAACTATTACTTTAAAATATAGAACATAACCTGCTTCAACTTCACCCTAATATAGTTTAATACTCTTTTAGTAACGCAATATATAACGAAATGTGAAGTAATGTGAAGATGTAAAGAATGGGCCTTTAAAACATATAATACATTTTATCTCTAAAGGAGTAAATCGTATTAGTAGTTCGAGGGTTATTACGGTAACTTTGTGTATAAGATTTTCACGGTCGTGTCTAAGAATGAAAAAATCTAGCAAGCTCATTTTGAAGTCCTGATACGTCAACACATGATAAGATTCAACTCATTTTAACCAATTTAATCCTTAATTTGTTGTAAATTTCATACATGATTCAAAAAACCGAAACGATACAATTTCAATATTGTCGTAAAACCCCTCAGTCCGTAAACGACTGTCAAGCGATGACTCGTGCTTACAGCTGTTTACTCGTCGAAGTGTTTTGTTTAATTAATATCAAACGCGTGAGCTTAAAGAGGCATATGTCTTACGGCGACATCTTTTGGAAAGGCCTTTTGCTGGCAGGTCGTACGTGTAACGATGTTCATGCTAGGCGAATCAATTGGAGAAACCCTCACATATTCAAAACTAAGTAAACTTCGAGAGAAAGTTGTGACTCGTAAACCCAGTGCCTTACACACATATTTAGCTTGGAAATACAATCTTATATACCGCGTAGGAACCGAATATATATGTTATCTTTATGCACATCCTAAAACTGCAAAAAATATGTTTAACTACAGAACCGACTATAGTATATACTTTTCCCGTAAATATCACGGGAATTGCGACAGATTTTTATGTAGGGCCGAACCTACGTACCAATATCTTTGCTTTCGGCCTTGGAGTGTTTGTAGAGGTTTGCTTCGGACGCTGGATTCTACGTGTAATTTAAAAAAAAAAATTGTTTTCTCTAATAAATCTACATATAAAGTCTGCAATCTTTTCTCCAGACTGCAGACTCTGTATGTAAGGCTCATAATTGGACCATCGCAAAAGTGCATACCTGGAGAATCTCAGCTTCAGTTTCCACGAATACAAAGTTTTTTATTCGTTAAGGATAAGCATTTTTTCTGCTAAATTTTTTCTAGGCCTCGAAGAAAACGGAAGCGAATGCATATTTTAATTGCGAGAGCTTTCAAAATGCGACTTATTTTTTTGTATCAGTTTGAAATCTTCGATATCTTTGAATTGAGCCAGAATTCTATGCAATAATTTTGAAGGCTCAACAGGCAGTCCAGAGGTTGCGTACAATTTACGATTAACAATTACACGAGCTGGGGGTTGAAATCGAAAGGGTCTCCTATTAATCCGAAAAGAAAACCTAGTTTTTCTTAGAAAAATGTGCAACTAAATTGTATGAAGCATAAGGGTCCACAGAAAATATCTTCGAACCAAATCAGACGTATAAAAATCTGTGTCATTTCGTTTATATTGGATTTACACTGGCTACTCTCTTTTTGGTAATTAACGCTTAAGTTAGCGCTTGCCGTTTCTAAGTTGTCTGTCATGGACTGCGGGATGTTTCATAGTGATTGCACTGCCCTATTAAACCGTATCGACAAGAGTGATACAGGACGTAACTCATGACGACAGCTTTTGTCTGTGACCCCGAAAGCGCAGACTCGCGGCTAAAATAGCGCCAAGTAAATTAGTTCAGTACCTTGACGGGCCTTATGAGGACACTAATATGTATCTGACAGACAAATACACAGATGCAGGTACATCACATTGTATAGCACGATATAGTAGTAAACGTATGATCATGGAGGAAAGATGAATCAGAGAAAATGGGTTCCATTAGGCTGACCCAAACTGTTTATAAAAGATCGTGAGCTCGGTTTGTCGAAGAAGTATTGAAGATGTTATTCTTGTTTAATTGTAATATGGAGGTAGCACCGAATCGCATGTTACGAGGGGCATTAAAACAAGCAAGCTGATGTAACAAAACAATATTTCACTCTTACTCTGAAATGACCTCCACAATCTCCAAGAAATAATTAGGTAAGAATGGTGGTCAGCAACCTTTTGACGCGATGGCAAGTTCAGTTCAGTGCTTGCCCATCGCAGGAACTGGTTCGACGTAAAAGATCGATTTACGTTGAAACGAAGCTTCGCCGACCTTCTCATACCAATTGAATTTTTACTTGAACAGTCTACTTTTTTTTATAGAAATATTTCACACAAAAAGTGTCTATCAAGCCCAAGGAATATTAATTATACTGAACTATAGTTCATGATAATTATGGGTCTGTTACTCTGGGATAATTATGGGTCTGGGAGTTAGATTTTACAGAATATTGTCGATTTTGAACTAAATGCCAATCGTCATGCGTATATACTGTCCGAGGACGTCGATGTTTAAAGCCTTCAGCCTTCACCACGAAAGCACGTTTGAAGTCAAGTAGTATGGGTTGGCATGATGTCCATATTATCTATGGCTTGGTTTGGCAAACTATGGCGGGCCGTTTTCCTGCGGTCACTCTACGATGGGACCTGACTACGAATCCCTTCAATTAAGTTAGCCAAAAAAAGTGGCAACCTAGGTACTAAATGAACCTAAGGACTACTGAGGTGAGAGCTGTTTCAGAGCGTTCAAATGTTATTTCAGTCAGCCAATAATTTTTAACAAAAAAATACAGAGAGAAGGCAGGCCAAAAACAGATCTAGAGTACATATATATATATGTATATATACAAGCAGCTAAAAAAACACACAGTAAAAGTTTTATTTAGCTATGAGGCCTTTTTGCCTCTCTGATTTGTCTAAAGCAAGCATAATTCTTTGGGCGTTCGTAATTCTGATGTCTTGTGGATTTTACAATGGTAATGATCAAGACATTCAATAGATATAATAAAACTACAATATGTTAAGGCATTGAAATGTAAACATTAGACGATACCACATTCGGCAATATGTCTGCATTAACCGAAAAGTTCCAAATCCCTTGGGCAATATAAACAGCGAAGCATAGTAATTACGATGGAAGCGAGACAAAAATGAATATATTTGGGTGGTATTTCCACCACTCCAAGTCCGGCATCATCAATTAACAGTTGGAACTTGACCATATCGGACGCATCAGGTGATCCACTGATCAGTCGAGTCTCTATTTCCGTTCGCTCGAATCATTTTTCTTGGTAGATCGTTGGCGGTTTCTGTAGCGACGTTCTCGTTTTGGGACGGGGAGAGGCATCGTGATCTTAAATGAATTGGGGATGACCTATTTTAACAATACGTCGCCGCCATCTGCCGAGCAAATCGGGTGTCGATAACTATTTTTCGATGCATCAGTGCAGTATTACATTGTCTTACAATTAGCCTAGTGGTAAATATAGTAATCTACATATATGGTAGTTACCAGCTTGTTTTTTACGTTCCGATTATATGAAAGCTTTACCCTATGATATTTGCTGTCGGATTGGCATATCTTGTAAATAAGCAGAACTTGTACACATCCTGTTGACGTACGTCTTCGCAGCCATAGTCTTTGTTGGTAATGATTAGGACGCAACATTCTTGGGGGTTTGTTGCATTCATTTCTATTTGGCAAAAGCGTGCAACCCCTAATATGATACGCTCCTGATAAAAGGGACGTCGTAATGTTCAGGGCAGCGAACGTACAATGTTGAAGGCTTTCTGTGTTGCTGTGATGGTACGCGTTTGAAAATTACGAGGTAGAATTTAAATAAAATAGGGTTCCAGCGATCAGTCAAACCGGGGTTAGCGAATTCCACCCATCGTTCACTCATGCAATTTCTTGCTAATGTAGTTTCTTATAGAGATATTCTAGACCGTTATGTCGGCTGGCTTTCGGTATCCTAAAAACAATACTTGTAGAACTGAAAATGCGTTTTTGCAGCCACCATTGGCGTTACATCCGAGACATTGTAATTGTGGCAAATTTATTTTACATGAAGAAATGCAAATCAACTTGAAGCTGCTGCTGTTGACGTCGTCTGATTGGTAGAAAGCAATCATACGCGATATGAGCTCGGTCACGTAACGATCATGGACAGGCAAACACTCTTGCAGGAATTTTATTTTTATGTTTAATGTATAATAAGGTAATATCCTTTCGGCTGCTTTGCGAGCATTATCCTGCACAAAAATCACATTATTATCTCACGAACTAAGTCATCAGTCTAGCAGACGTTCTAAAAAACAATTGTATTTATGGAAGTATAGCCATCCCTGCTAATTATATTGTTTTTTTCCCGTAAGACTCCATTCCCTTCGCTACGATCTTAGTTTTCCTGCTCTCTGAACATAGGATATCTCGATAGCCATCGGCTCAAACCTACTCAATGAATATTAGCAAATAATTTCGCAATCCATACACACAGGATGTAACTGTAAGGTAACAACAGTATATAAATGTTGACGACATACGTTGATCACTTTATGACATTTATAAGCATGACGCCTTCGTTTTTTCTGACCAGGTATAATTACACATTTTTCGAACATGCCGGAGTTTATAAGTCCAATCTATTGTAACGGACGCATTACACTTACATGCGTAAGTGCACAATGGTGCCTGGTAGTCGGTACTTTAAGACAAAAAGTATTTTTAAATATATTTATCTTGAAAATACGCACACGCGTACTATTGTTGGCTAATTGGTTGTCTGATTCATTAATTTTATGGAGAGGAACATAAAAACTTACTATTTGCTCTTTAAGCTCTTGTTGGACAACGGGGCCAGGACTTCCACGGAGCATGGCCGAATACCTACCCCTCTCATCAAGGACAAAACACTAATTGTGGTAATATAACTGCATGATCACTATAGCATACTCTTAAAGTATTTGTTGCACGTCCAAAAATTATTTTTTTTTCGAAAAAATGATGATCACCTTTTGTCCGTTCTTTTTTTTTCGGAGAGAACTCATGACGGAATCTTTATCAGGGTCAAACATGGCAGGAATGAAGCCAAACATTTGTAACTGTAAAAGTCAGATGTATTAAAACCGAAGAGACTACTTCTTTAGAATTTAACGGTATCCAATACGTAAGTCACATAAGTCATATAAAGGAAAGGTAATTTTTTCTGCGTGAAACGTAATAGCTCAGTAAGTTTTCGAAATTCTTTCAAGAAAATAGGTCATACTTTCCAGGATATTTTCGAATTTCTTTTTCTCTGGTCACTTTTGCCTGCAACATTATTTTGAATATTCGAATTAAGTTCGTTACGAATCTGTGAACTTTTGAGTATTGTGGAATGACTATTTCCATGAGAGAATATTCCAACGAGAAGGCCATGGCCTTAATGGAGCAGTCGAACATGATAAAAGTGAGGCCATATTGAAAATTACATTACGTATCCCTGCGGTGTGATGCTATAGCTTCTGTTTCTCGGATTACAACGTAACTGTGTGTTCGGGCGATAAGAACATTGCCCATGGCGTTTGTATCTAACCCCAACAGCATATTTATTAAATGTTGTTACTACGCCTATAGTTGAAATACTGTGTTTCAGATAAAACGAAGCGCACTAAATATCATAAATTATAATTGATCTTATCCACTGTATTTAGACCATTGTTGCATAAAAAATTTTTTGCATGTTTGTATTTATGTACCTGTCGTCGGATCGTTCTGATTGCTGACGTATCGATGGTAATTAATGTATCGGGATTTACATTCAAAAGTGGGTATTTAGTTTCTAGGACACTTTCGCAGCTTTCAAAAGGCGCTTTTTCGGAAAAATGTACAACCGAACAAATTCATTTGTTCGATGGGTATAGAGCAAATTTTACCATCATACATCGCAGAACTACCAAACCTATCATTCGATCAGTCCAGGAAGATTCTACTGATTTTTTTTACACGGTTTGTTATCTTCATAAATCTCGGTCTGATTGCTGCTCTGAATAAAGCCGAATTGAGCACAAGTGTGTTATGTTAATGGAGCTGCCTGGAAAGCTTACGCAATGATACAATTAACTTCCACCTAGAGAACACGGAAGAGCCGAAGCATTATATATTTCAGGTAAACCTAAGCTTCTGTCTGATTGGTTGTAGCTTATTGAGTTCTTTATTCGTAGATAAGTAGAGTAAGTCAAATTCAATCAATTAATTTGTATGCTTAACTTAAATAATAACCTTAAAACGTGGCCGGAGAGAACTTTGCTACCACATTGCAGAACCTGTTATTTCTTTCCCTTATTCTCAAAAAGGAGAAGGAATAGGCTGATTAGGGCACGCAAATGGTTAAATAAAACTTTTGTCTGTGACTAACTTCCATATAAAGTATCCGAGTTGATGATTTCCGTTTTAATTGTGCTGATGTATAACATCTCGACTGCTCAGTGTGATAGAGTGAAGCAATAATATATTATATCACGTAAGAAAAAGTTGCAGAAAGGAAATTTTACGAAAGTCTTTAAATGGCTTCCAATAACCAGCATCGACTTTTTCAATTTGTTCTGCGCTCTTTTTGTGTCGTTCATTCAAATTTCCATTTATTGAGGGTGACATCGAAGTATTCCCAAGGTTCGCAACGGGATTTCCTGCCGCTCTAGGCTTCGTTTTTGCGGCAAAGCTTGCATTCCGGTGACGTCTTGAAGCCTTTCGTAGGGAGTGAGATGAATTTGGGTTTTAGACACCTGCCACGGCGTTTTTTCATGGGTGCGACGATCTTTTAGACTCTTTATTCGGGAACCCCCAGGTCGGTTATAGATGGGTGTTATGACAAGATCTTTGTGGAACGTGTTTATCATCTATCCATATTTATTCATATGTGAGAATAATTTGCGTTGTAGTAAACTTACAGAGATTGGAGTTACCATATAAGAGAAGCCGGCTATAGCACTTCCAAGGTTCAAAACCTTCAAAGTCGAGTCGAAAAAATTTGTACATCAGCGAAGACATAATGGCGATTGGGGTTGAGGTAGTAAAAAGAGTCCGTGACGAGTTCGTTTAATGAAATTGCTACGGTTATAGGTAGCGAATAGGAACCTAATCTATCAACGCTTTCCTTTCGCTTTTCGCACTGATCCACGTCCTGCATTAATGTCAGTCGATGAAAGGAAGTACCTTTCCCTTGGAAAGTTACGAACCGATTGACGTGGGCTTGTGTAAGTGGATAATCAAATGCCTTCGCGCCCCGTCTTCTCCCAGATTTTGCGATGGCTGTGCCCCTTTTTCGCGACAGACCAGCAGACGTTTTGCGTCGCCCCCTTTCGATACCTTAAGGTCAAGTACCTTTTTTGCCTGTAAATTAGTTTTATTACGATACAATTTCACCGTCATCTTGAAACACTTCATAACTTTAAGAACAATAAAAATAGGCCTGAACATACTAACGTCAACATTTCTACTGGTCTAAACATCTTCGTTTATACCGAAAGTTGCACGTAAGGGCATCAGATGATTACATAAAGTGGTGGCTTTGAGCATCAGCAGTAACACTAACGCACATCAATTTTTCAAGCAATCATAGACGTCATGGGTTTAAACTTTTGGCAGTAGACGGGCCGTTCGACAACACACAGATTTTACAAAAGTGTGAGTAGTGGCTAAGCTCTAAGTTGACGAATAAGCGTTAGTACGTATCGATTACGGGCCAGCCGCTACAGCCGGCCACGTACGTTTACCACAACGTTCCGAGGCGCAAGCTTTCCATTCCAAAATGCAGGGTGCCCATCTTAAGTAGCTACCACCCTGGTGTTGGCCCCGTCAGCGGGTTCTTAGCGTGCCCAGTGGCAATGATACCGAGCCATAACAATGACTAATACAATACTAATTAACAACGATCGATTCAACACTGTCACGTTGACACTTGGCAAATGAAATCTACCGGGTAGTTCCTATGTCAACGAGCACAGAAATTTGTTACTTGCCTATCTACCCATGGTAACGATTTTTCCCGGTACTAGGCTTCTTTATGTGACGTAATCTATTTACTGTCGCTTATCTGGCCTTAACGCCGTAAACAAGTGAGAGTAGTAGTTGAAGTATGCAAATGACAACTTATTTAGGAAAAGCTTTGTTCGGTACTTTTGCTGTCTCACGTCAGAAACCTAAACTAGCGACTGCCAAACGCGTCAACCAAACTGACAACTGAATTGTCGACTATCACAAACGGCCTGAAAAGCACAAATTGTTGAGCATTAGTAAGGCGTGCTGGCTGGCTGGCTGGCTGGCCGGCCGGCTACATTACGACACAGAGAGGCGCGATTCAGAAAACCAATTGCTGGTAGTAAGCGTCTACGTAGGCAATGACCTTAGAATGAATATTATTGGGTGATCACAGATCGATAACGAACCATAGTTGAACACGCATGACCGTGCTGTAGGACGCACGGGAATGGCCAACCGTTATTAACAGGCTTTTAGAGCTAGTAGTAAACAACATAGTATGGCGATATATACTCTCTAATCACTCTCATAATATATGGTGTGAATAGAAGTAATAACTGCGGCCGATGCTAGTTTGATAAGCGGGTACCATGGCTTGCGGCTTATGCCTTCTGGAAAAGATGGTGCCCGGCTTTTTGGACAGAGCTTCCATGAAATACGTTGTGCGACATAACCCACATAATCGTTAATCTGGTTGTGTGCATAAAGCGAGTTCACCGATACGACCCCGACGATAGGTCCTGAACAATCGAAATACCCGTATTGTGAGCTACTGCAGTCGCAATAGTTATCTAATCGACCCCTCTGTAATTTGGTGACTCGTAGCATATCTTTTGTACGTTTCATCACTTATGGCCAAAATCAGTTAGACGAAAAACCCAATGCTATGATGATTTGCAATGGCTGCTTTATCCTGTGACTTCTTGTTTTTTTCTACAAGTTGCTAATTCAGCAAGTGCTTTTCCTCAGCGATCTTTGTTGTTATTGTGTATCTGAATTAAATATGCAGGCAGTAAGATAATTGCTAAAGCCTATGACATTTTTTTGCCACGGGTGGTGACCTTGAAAAGCCTGTTTATATATAGCAATTTTTGCACCTGCTGAAACATCGTGTTTTCTTTGAGTCCTTATGAGCTATTCACTTAAGCTTTTTTAATAATATTCATTTTTAAGCATTGAATAAATTAGGAAAAAATCGAGGCCAATTCAGCGCTAATTTATCATAAGTATAAATAGATGCTAAACTGCGATAAGCGGCATTTCTCTACGCAGTTATTACCATTAGATAGCAAAATTGCATGCAATTTCAGTGGGTTACTTTGATGGCACACGAACCTTACAAACTTTGACAGTAAGGGAACTTTTAGATCACTGGCCATCACTAGGTATCTACCGATCGTGCAATGTTAAAAGTGGAGAGCTATGGAAATGGAAACTACCGGAGAAAAAATAAGTACGAGACACGATTAATGACAAATACTGTACATGTAATGCCCAGTGGCAAATGTCGATTTCTGAATTCGCAACGCATCGCTGACGTAGCCCACTTTCTATACGTTCTGATTTGGTGCGTTATACCTCTTAACACTATCCATTATTAATACTATATTATACTGTGAGTTATTATAGAATAAGTCATTCCTAATATCCAATAGCATACATTTAATTCAGCGAGATTTAATGTTAGGTTACATTTTTACCATAAAAAAAAAGGTTTGCACTCTCGAATGAAGTTTAGCGGTAGAACCATCCGATCCCAGAACAGAAAGGCATTCGGGCGTTCAGCGCCTCCCACAAACACTTTAGTTCCGATAGTGACAAAGCTTCTAAATCTGTAGTTCTGTAAATGTAATCTCGTAGTCTAGACCTTAGGACTATAATTCCACATGCCTATCGCTTAGCCTTTACTATGCCATCAATTGTTGTAATTAATTCAAATTTAACTGAAATTTGATGTTGGCGTCGTATATATGTATGTATATATATATATAGGATATAAAATTTGATTGTACAGAGTTACTTCATAATTTTTTTTAAATAGAAAGAAACTTATATATCGAAACGAAAATCCCGCATTGGTTCGGTGCACCTGGGGGTTTATTCGAACAAAACCTGTAATCACTTTTTATTTTGGTAATGCGTTTATCCATAATAGGGACACGTTGTAGTTTGGGTTCGAGACTGGGCAAAGACAATTTCATTTTGGGTTTAGAGTCAACTTATGCCCAAAAGCTATGCCCAGAAGCAACACTGGACACAAAATTCTTGAATTATTTTTTATTCTCAAAATCATTCAAGTTACGACTATTTCGCTTACTTAGTAGCCATAAACTGCAAAATATCAGCTAGAAACAATTCAGTTGCTTAATAATATATTAGAACCAATTGATAGAAAGCTGAGAATCTGATAAAGTACATACTGTTAGCCTGTTATGGCGAAATCTCGCCCATTCTAAATTTAGGTTAGATAACTTCGCGCATCTTTTAACGCATGTAACTCAAAATAATGTAAAGAAAGTTAAAATGCTTTTGCCTAACTTACACAAGAAACAATATTGCAATGCTTTATGAGATACGTATTGCAATGCTTTCCCTGGAAAATCATGACTGGTACAGTTTCTTTTACCGAGCTTAAATATGGACGTTAATTATGACCATTGCTAGACTCCTTATCAACTGATAATGTATCTGACATAGCTGAAGTCCATGCTGTTACTTTCAGAACATCTTGCGTAGCCATAGATCATGTCCTTATAACTTTTTTTGTTGTTTTTCAGTCCTTCGACTTCAAAATCAAGTCAACAAGCCGCTGGTGCGATCTCCACCCCGAAACCAGAATCAAGGAGCACCGGAGCCATGGGCAGACGGTCCGTCTGCACCCTGGGGCCCACCAGGAATGGGAGCAACACCAATGGGAGGTTCTCCTATCGGGCCAGGGCCAATAGCACCGAACATGGGAGGACCACCTGTTGGTCCAATGTGTTCTATGGGCCCTCCCCCATGCGTACCACCAATGGGAAATTTAGCAACTACCCCTGGTGGTCCAATGGGCGGAATGACCGGTCCGCCACCAGGTGGCCTACCAATGCCCCCAATGCTACCAGGGCCTCCTCCTCCCCCTGGAACAGATTGGGTTCCTCCACCAGGAACCAGTCCAAACCTTAGTTCTACAGGGGGTGCTGGAAATACCGAAGTCATCGAAACACTTAAGAAACAGATCCAAGAAAGTCAGGTGCATATATAAGCCTTACACTTGTCTGAATTATGCCTCGACTCATGACCCTAGTGTATATATACAGGTTGCTAAAGTACACTTAGTCCGTATACAAAAGCGTAGGCTCATTGACGTCACGCGTATGAATCCCATTTCAATAGGCATTATATTTGTTTCAACAGGCCCAAATTCAACAGTCCGAGGCCAACCTGGCAGCCCAGCATTCATGCCTTATGTCAGGCCAGCAGCGAGTCCTTGACGAAGCATTAAAGGATGCTGTCAAGGAAAAAATTGCGGCTCGCGCCAAAGATTGCGGCCTCGAATTGGACGAATTCGACCGAAAACTAACTGCCGTAATGGAAACTTGCACGAAAGAAGCCATCTCGGTATGATGGAAGCTTTTTTTATGGCCTTCAATACTTGAATACTCTCGTTGTTGTTCATATCGACTCTGTACTAATCTTAATCTTAACGTGCGTGCATGTATGCTCGTTGGTGGTTTATGTGTGATAGACTACACGTAAATGTGTAGTATGCTTGTTCGAATAAAGGAAAAGAGCGTTTGAAACATCTCTTGTAGTCAGTCGCCTTGTGATCTATTGTTTGTTCTCTCAGCACGGAAAGACATGGATACTTTCTCGTGCAACAGATCAAGCTCGGGCACAGGTTGTAGCTGAGCACCTACTCCGGCGAGCAACTGAAGCAGGGACAATTCCATTCGAGCATAAACTGCACATTGTTTATCTCGTTAATGATTTGTTACATCATTGTCAACGGAAAGGCGAGTAATACTCGGACAATTTGATAAACTTACTCAACTGGGAACTGGTAGATTTTTCATGTTCGAATGTCTCAATAGAGCTCGTTCTTTTGTCATATTGAAGCTTGTCATCGTTCAGATTTCGGACTATTTGCTGCTGGTGGCTGCCGTCAGTGCAAAAGATTATTAAATTCACATGGAGAATATTTATAGCTTTGTAGAATTACACTTTGGGTAGTACTTACTTTATGTAGTCAACGTGATGCTCGGGATAAAGTCGAACTAGTAGAATCAAAGGCTGCTAATCTAAAGCGTCTTTTTTTAGATTGGTTTATTTAATAGTATTACTATGTTCAAGTTCTATACCGAATTCAAAATTGTAAATAAATAACCTCACTTCACACTGCTTGTTAGAGCGCGCGGATCGATAGAATTCGATGATGCCTATACTTAAGTACGAGCTGTCGTGATATTTATGAGCATTATGTCGTCGATACTAACGACCCAAGAGTGGTAATATCGTGCAGTTCTAAAGTTAATTAAAGGCATAATGAATAAAATAATTGTTAGATACATCAATGGCCAGTGGCTCTAACCGAGCCAGATTCAGTCGTCGGAGCTAATCAAATCCACATTCGTACGGAAATAGAGCTTGAACTTCCTTGAAAAAAATAATAACAACAATCAAATTAACGTATTTTCCTTCTTCAATATAATGAACGCCACAGTTGCACGATCCGTGCTACACACAGTTGTTCGAAACAACGGTGCCATGCAATCCAGTCTGACCGAATAATGAGACGTCTAGCACAATTTCAATAACCTGTGAATTAGGGATATGCAACAGATCACTTATATGTCCTTAACAGGTCTGGACGTGATGAGTCGAGCACTTAAGGACATCGCCGTTCCTCTGTTTTGTACGGCATGTAATGAGTGTCCGACGGATCGCTTATGTAAGCTAGATAAGCTACGAAATCTGTGGACGGCGAATCAGTACTTCGACGAAGGTGTCGTCGGTCAACTCAACGATCCTCTGCAAAGTGCTGCCAACTATCGGGCACGGCTCATTGCAGAAAATCAAGACGTAAGTGTAGTTCGGTTGTACAAATGTCGGATAGCAGCAACTTTTACATACTTTTTAGGGATTTCCACGTTCTATGATGACTATAGGTTGTAATTGTACAGTTGTGTGGTCACTATTATTTGCATTTATGGCTCCTTTTGTTCACTAACCGGTTGTCATTTGACAGGTGCTGCAACGTGCCACAGCGGATGTTCAGGCGAAATACGCTGGCTTCCAGAAACAACACATGGATTTCGTGGCGCATCTGACCCAACAGGTTGTTCGACTGCAAGCTGACCTGGCAAGAGAAGAAAGTCGGCCTCCACCTCCGCCTCCTCCTCCTAGGGAGTCTCCATCTCAAGGAACACCGTCAATCCCTCAAGGAACCCCAGGGCTCCCAGGAATGCCTCCGACTAGTAATCGTTGGAGGCCCCAGGCACAACCAGAAGTAAACGGAATGCGTTCATATGCTGGTATGTAGATATTTATATATGTTAGGCGCTGCTTCACAAAGTCGTTCTAATAAACAAACATCCCATGCGGACGACGTGTAAGTAAGTTTACGAAATGTTATTATTATTAGTTTTTAGCTGTGTATAAATAAGCGTCAAAGTAATTCAAGTCGTACCATGATGAAATGATAACAACTGTTTATCAATTGCCAACATTACAGAGAGGCGTGAAGGTGACGTTTTAATGTACTCTGGAAGCGGGGGTGACTACGGTGAAAGGCGGGACCCCTCAGAGTATCCCTCCCAGGGGGGCTACGACTATAACTACGTCCAGCCGGAAGTAATGCCCGAGTCGTTTGTGCCCGATCTACCCTATTACAAACTTCCTGCTGGTCTCATGGTACCCGTAGTCAAGGTGATTAGCAATCCTTTCAAAAAGTTCATACTATAGCCAAAGATGCAGGGTTTTCTAGCATTCGCCTCGCCAATGTCTAACTATTATTGACGATTAAATATAATTATTTCGCGACTTCGGGAGCAAACATAGACGGGAAGAACGCTTTAATATTTGGCGAAAAATTGTGTGATTCCTTTGTATTGTTTCGGACTACGGTTTCGTAATCCGTTGTAATTAACTTTTGAAGCTCTCTATTGTGACTGTGGTATTTCCATTCTAAATAACGTCACGTAGCTGTCAGATTGCACTTACGAAGCTTTAAACCCTGCTGAGCTTCGACTGCCCCCGAAATTACCGCCCAGCGAGCATCTGCTATCAGCTCTAGAAGCCTTTTATGCCCCACCATCGCATGACCGTCCACGAAACGTCGAAGGCTGGGAGCAACTTGGCATTTATGAATTCTACAAAGCAAAGAATGCGGCCAAAGCAGAGAAGTATACACACTTACAAGCCTCATTTTGCATGATACTGCTTCGAAAGCGATCACGAGAGTTATTCTAAATTGACAATAGTAGGTGCTAGTTAAAGTCCTAACAGTTATGCTGGCCAAGATAACTGTACTAATTAAAATGGATACAACAAATCAAGTATGTTGTCCTATGTTCTAGTTGCGGTTTGGTATCAATACTGTGCTCTTTTAATTGTGATGTTGTCATCCAGATACAAAGATCAACCGATTCCACAAGACGGCTATACCTCCACTGGGGAATCTGATGAAGAAGCACAACGCCTCGAAGATGTCGAGCGTTCAGAGAGGAATCGGCGCAACGCAGAGAGAGAAGCACGCCGAGTCGGTCGAAAACGTTTTCGAGAAACTCCGCCACCTCACGAAGAAATCCCTAGCTTGTCACCCAGTCCACCACCGCCAAATCCGCGCGATAGGTCTGGCGAGAAAGATCGTAGCCCTAGTCGATCAGAAAGATCCAGAAAGTAAGTTATTACTAACTCCGGCTAACATCATTAAGAGCGCTTCACAGATTTCGTTCAAATGAAACAACTTTTAACCGGCCCTTCAAATGGATTAATAATAAGACCTTTTGAACAGGATAAAATGAATAACAAATAACAGTTGGTCGTCGAATGCATTTGTGTACCATATTGTGACTAAACGCACGGAATGATATGTAGCCTATTAGCATTACTGTGATTATATAAAATTGGGCTTAGTGTTACCCGTCCGTTTTCAGACTCTTAAATGTAAAAGGTTTTATTAAATAGATGTTTTCTAGTATATGTTATTATTTAGTATATAGGAAACTCTTAACGGCTTTAAGTCGCCTGAGTAAAACGGCTCGTATACTTGAACTTCGGAGTTGAGTGAATTTTTTTGAGTAAGACCAAACGGTGAAGCTTTCGTGCAATGCGCGCCGTGCGACAAGAGATTTTCGGGAAATAGGGATATTTGGACGCTTAGCACGTCACGAACCAGTGTAATCACGACTAATTACGCGCATACACTCCATCAGTGATTCAGACGCGGACAACAGATACAGATTCATGAATTTGAAACCTTTTTACAACAAGGCATAAAATTATATGGAAGGTGCAGGACGTCTGCCATCTATTGACAGTTCCGTCGAATATATCGGTCCTCGAAAGAACTGACTTTGCGACATCTGGGTCGACAAAAATTTTAACATTAAGTTTATACATTGGCAATGTATAAACCTCTGTTATTGTTAAGAATAAACTTGTCAACGTTTCCAATCTTGTTGCCCGATGCAGCTAGAGCTGTGTGGAAGATAGGAGCTGGGAATGTTTGCGTTCTTCTACAATCATCTCGTTCTTCTAATACGCACAAACATAGAAGAAGATTTTCAGTAGAGTATTTCTTCTTAAGAGATCTTTGGGTGAAGCCAAGCAATCCACCGAAGTCCGAATTCGAATGCATCACCTTGTGTATACTTAATGGAAAAAATTAAGGAAATATTTACATTTTATTTAAATGTGAAATTTGATAATTTTGGAAAAAAAATCGAAAAGACTATCGAATCCCCACTCTAACAAATTTTATATTTTCTGAATAAATTACCTAACGAATAGCTACAAAGTAACAGTATCTACTTTATGCCAGATGTGCATGTTTTGAAAAGAAAGCAACTTTGCATTGAGAGGCATTGTACAAAACTGGATTCTTTAATGTATACCTAGAAATGTCCTTCTTATTAAGGAAGAGACGTTACAAACCCTCATTATATTAATAGTATTGGCTTTTTGCCTGTCTTCCAAACAATAGATGTGGAGAACGGACGACATTATCCTGCTAATAAAAGGTCTAAAGTATCAATTTTCATTATTAATTATTATATATATTATTATATTATTCAGTAAAGTGAGAAAGCAATCGGGACGACCGCTGCTTAGAATGGTTAAAAAGCGGAAGGACCACCGACCGTAAAAGGGCATGGAACATCCGTTTGTGTTTATCCGTCTTCTGACTTATTTATGTCGTTTCGTTACGGAGTCAACCTAAGTGTATTAAATAAAGGCAGAGTTGGAGGAACAGTCGAACGTGGCATTTAAATTAATAAATAACGTTCTATGTACCCCGTCCTTTCTTGCATGCAACTTGCGACAGACGTCGCAGTCAGCAGTCATCCCCACCGCGTAGACGCAGCCCCTCTCCAGAGATTCGGCCATCATTTGGAACTCCAGTTGCCCAAGTTCCTCCACAGCGGTTGGATGAAAGTAACAAGGGTCATCAGCTCCTGAAGAAAATGGGCTGGGCAGGCGCGGGCCTAGGCGCGTCTGAACAGGGCATCGCTGAACCGATCAAAGAAGCTGAGGTTCGCGACCGCAGTGATATGTACAGGGGTGAGTATGTGTACAGTATACCTTCTAAAGCAAAAAGTTTCCTCAATGTCTAATAATGCAGCCGACCTGTTCAGTTTACTTGTGCGTTTTTGCGCTTACGGAGCGAGGTATTGAAGTATACATTGAATGAGATGGTATGTATTAGTGAGGCTTATAGGATACTTTTCAATGACACAGTTAAATCTTGCATTTAAGAAATACAAAAAAAAAAAGAGCACTTAAAATAGGCAAGTGACAAAAACAAGATTTTTTTGTTCCTCTAGAATAAAGTAGAGATAGGCATGAAAAAACAAACAAAGGTTGCTTGATACGAAAAGATCGTTCCACATATGGACGAGTAACCCGAAAATTGCACTATTGTATTTTCTAATAATCTGCTCTACCATAAATAATAGGTTCTCTGTTAACCTGGTGCATTTTTTATTATCCCAAACCTATGCATTTTCGGTACTCGTACTAGCGCTTAAAGAGCAGCAGCGCGACAGGTGCTATTCAAAATAATGATATGTTGGGCTACTCGTTTTGCTAGCCACGTAAACGTTGCTAAGTTGGCTTTTACCAATTTGTAGCTTAGAACCAACTGCAATAAAGGGCTTAATTTTTAGCAGTACACGGTAACTCACAATGTTTTTAAATAGCATAATGGACTACTACCTCTAAACTTCGTTGTCCCTCCAAAACATATGACGCGAAGATTCATTTCTTTTGTCAATAGGCCGTTTCCAACCTGGTTTTGCACGAACTACGCCGTCATTGTGCTATCTCGAAGGGCAAACCAAAATTATAAGCTTATTCGCTGGAAAAAGGTAACCTAAGACAGAGGGAACGTGTTGTCGTGTCAAGCACTTTGCCACAGAACAGCTTTAAGTCTTTAACAACAGCGCAAATGTTTAGAGAATTTTACCACATGTAGATATGTTTTGTATTTTCTAGGGATGGTATTTGCAAATAGCGCTTATCATAAATGTCGTCGATTTCAGGTATTGGTATGGGAAGTTCTTCGGATGATCTGTATGAAAACTATCGAAAGAGTCGAGGCCAGCATTTCATCAGTAAAATGCGTGGAGCAGAGTCATCGCGCTAATGGGCTTGATGTTTTCCATGCGCAACTATCTGCTCGGTTTGCTGTATTGCAAACCTTTCCGAAGGCAAGCCAAACACAGTAATACGCTCTCTTTTGACGCCGGTGATTCGGCTGTCAATGCAGTAATGGGAAGACCTCCAACGTATTTCACCTCATGAAGAAATTAGTAGATAATTCTTCAATAAGTATTAATATCATAAATAAATTAAATGTCTACGTGAATTGTTCAGCCAGCTGTATCGTTAATTTGAGCAATGCCTTTGAGGTATAGGAAAAACCTAAGGGAAAAATTCGGGAAGGCCATTTGAGGGAGGTATACTGTTTTATTTAGAAATCGAACTTTATTCCTTCCCGATGCCTAAATCTTTAATTAAGATAACCAACTACCTTTGTTTTTTTACCATTACGTTCATTTCCTTTTTATTAATTTGCCCTATTTCTTGGAAATGATCACTTTCTTGCAATGAACCCACACTGCAACTTACATTTGTATAGAATTGATGTAACTGTAATATGTTGTGGTTCTAAACCGTGCCGAAATCTACGGACTCCCAAATGTTAAACTAGAAAAAATGCAATAGTTATCCTTAAAAGTTAAAAAAAAAAAGGGTTATCTCTAGATGACTGTACTTCATCGCCTTTTGCCAAGTATCTTTGCTATCCAGTTAGACATGATTAGTATATATTCAAGTCCTTCCCCTACAGTTAATTTACTGATATCTAATGACGCCTGCTAAGGTACAGGATGACTTCCTAACAACTCATTATCTACGCCTCTATTAGCTACAAACCCGAATTGGGAATCGTTCGTCAAAGGCGTTACAATGATTTAAATTGGAGTGTTGTAGTTTGCATTGTTTCCTCAGAATAACTTCTTTTTTGGCTGCTCGCTCAGATCCTTCACTTCTATGACTCACATTATATGTTTTTTATTGATATTTTTAAAATGATAGAGTAGCAATTTGCAGTTGTTGCGCGGACTTAGTTTTCTTGAAACCGATGTAATTGTCAGGCGTAGAAAAGGCCCAGCTGCAGGAAAAACAACACGACTGCCCGTCCTTCTCAATAATGATCACGGAAATAATTTCTCTCCTATCGGTATGTGTATCGACTCTGTGCGAAGGTCTATTCAGTTATTGTCAAATATGGCTTAGCTGGACCTTTCCTCAAACAGAACTTGAGTCCTACGATGATAATTTCCTAAGGAAAAAAAATAGGTGTTGAATGAGAAGTATTAATGGTATCACGGATGCAAATTTGTGGCTTTGTTACCGAATCGATCCTTGCACTAAGACATTTATAATAATGAATTAAGCGTTCCGTCACTGTTGAGCTGTCAGAGAAAAGATCCATCCGAAATGTAAGTACACATTTTTTCTTAATATATAGTTGATGACATTAGAGAAATGTTTCTTTATATGTTCTTTGTATGTATCATTAATATAGGCTCTGACAATAATCGGAGCTGATGTATTCAGTTATTGCCCTTTGAGATTTCGATAGGGCATCCGACGCTAAACTGGTATGCAATCAGCATTTCAGGAATTGTTAGTTATGGAAAAGGTACGTTCGATTTACATTGGACCCACTTAAGCGTTTCTTTGATTGATTTACATAAGCTTTTAATAAGAAAAAAAACTCTGTCCCATAGATCGCAATGTCTTCTATTTCTTCTTGTTCTTCACACGAAACTATACTTACGTCGCAACATTTTTTCCGATCCCTATGTCTCTGCGATTTCAAAATTATCAGAAAACTTTCCCCGTACTTTTGTATTCGTGTTTGCCATATTGTGGTAAAATCTGAAACCGGATAATATTATTCGTTGATAGCTTTCGGATCGGTATAATCCTCCAAACTTCTCCATGCACTATCTACAGCGTACCAGACAATTAAATTAGTTTTCATTCAATTAAGCTCGTCAGCAAGGTGTGTTACAAAGACTGGACGGGGCTAGTTATTTCCATGTGCTATAACTTGTACTTGCATCTTCCGGCTAGGGGCTTCCTTAAGCAGCCGCAGCAAAAGTGCTGTAACTTTGTCGTAGTCGTGTTAAATACGTAAGTGATTGATGACAAAGAAAAGCTTGAGGCACCACTTAGGTGACGCCGTTCAAGCTATTTTGATGATCAGGGTCCGCTTACGCATCAAGTATTTTCAACGAGCCTGGCATTCTAGTTGTTTCCTACTTTGAGCATGTTTTCTGATGTACAAATCAGATCCGTCGTGAACGAAAACTTATCTGATCTTCCCCGTAGTCGGCGTTCTAAGTTCGAAAGTGGCTACAGAACATTGTTAGCTTTACCAACTAAACGAAAAAGCTTCGTAACAAATTATCCAAGCTGTCAACAGAGCTATATTTTTAACTCCTTGCCGCCCTTCATACTTAGCATCGAAAATCACAAAATACTCTAAAAAAAGAGTTATTAGGACTTACTGGATACCGTCCTCAGCATTTAATGTTCTATCATTTAATTCAGGATGTGACCCGATTGATGTGGATACCGCTATGTAGTTGTTGTCGCTATTGCTGTTATTGTATACTACATGAAATATTCGTATGATTTATGTCTGATCTCAGTCTCTTCAAGCTGATAGCTTCTTGTCTTACATATTTGAACAAAGTTTATTGGAATCTTCGAGCCGGCACCATTTAGCTGTTGCGATAGCGTTAGCGCCTCAAATATAAGCTTTCGTAAACGTAACTGTTTATTACAAACCGTCAAGATCTATTAAGGTGCACCTACAAAATTTTGTTTTATTAGTCACTGGAGAACTCACGACCTTTTAACAAGCTCGGCTCACTCGTTGTTTACTTAGCATAGATCCGCTTGATATTATGCCTTTGTCCTTTGGAAGGGCTGTTGACTTTTGCACGTACGGCATGATGTGCACTGGTAAGCTCATCTGTGATGACCTATTGATCATCCTTTTGATCTCGCTCTAGACACCTTTAAGCTTCTGCCCATCATATTCTGATGTTTGGCGTTTCAGACGGTTTTTTGCTCTGACGATTCGGATGAAACTTCTACAATTTTCTTAGATCCCTGGCTTAGATCATTAAGTGTTTTAGGCACATATAAGTGTAAACTGTAAAAAAGGAATAAGAAAATATGGAAGGGTCTCGGTGATCGCTATATAGGTACGTACGTGCGTGCCACTAACAAATTGATGTTTCCAAGTAAGTGATTTACGAAATAAAAAAAAAAAAGAGAGATTAAACAATCGACGCTGCCACACGGTGCGTATCTCTCAAACTGGTAAAGCCAGAAAAATATAACTTACGAGCCAATCTAAATGCTCTAATTTCTACTTGACTGGACATATTGGACAGAGTGTTTTATTATTTAATGATAAAATATTTACAACGACTGCTCATTGTTTCTAGGTCAAAGGGTCATTTCTTTGTCGGATGCGGTAACGTTTACTAGTGTTATCTACGTATTAGCCTAAATATAGCTCAACTCGCTGGTCTCAATGTAGGCCAGCGGCTTTGTCACTTGGCAATAACTTAGTTGTCGTCTATCATCAGTGCTACCACCACAGTTAGGGCTTCCCTGGCTGCTCTGTAAGGCTCCCCCTCGATATTGCCTGCACTAAGGCCAGAGCTTAGCCTGACAGCAATAGAAAATGCTTCAAAAATTTCTCAAAATTGCTTCTAGCTCGACTCAGCTTAGCCAGATATCTTGACGGACCTGCTCTTCGCGCATTGACGTTCAAGCAATATTCATATTAATTGAATGATGATTTCTAGTTCAATTATTTCGGTTCAAGTTACTATTTATCGACACGCTCGCAACTCGTAACCGGATGCACTGAGGCCTAATGTACTATGCACGACGTGGGCTGTTTTAGCAACACATTCATTTCAGAAGAATTTCATCAGCTTTCTACTGCAAAGCGTACGCCCGAAACGTGGAGCGCTCCCGCCTTGTGGCCTGTCGCTTCGACGCCATATGGAGCCTTGTGACGTAGCTTGACGTCACAAAGATATAGGGGGCAAGGGATGGTGGAAAAGCCTGCGGCGGTAGCAGCAGAACAAAGGTTGCATAGTAAATAAAGTAGTAAAGTTGATAGAATGAGCGAACAAAGGACGAGAATATAAGAAGGAAGAAAATGAACAATTAAAAGGATGGTTGATGAAGCATCACGAAGCGCCAAGGTGTATAATACGTCTTAGGGAAGATAACTCCTATATCAAATACACACGAGGCATACGTAGATATCTTGCAGTACACTGAATGGCGTTCATCGTTTTTTATACCAATTGTTTAGTCGTGTTTGTAAAATTCTAGAGCTAATCTCAGTAGATCTGTATGTACACAGCAATTTAGGCCTGATGACAGGGGAAATGCGTAAGTGTTAAATCGAGATTAATGCACATAATTATAAAAAACTTTTGAGAATAGTTGAAAAAAAACACACACACACGTTAGGCTGCTAATACTCCTTATAATTGTTAGTTGTTGCTGACAGATGGCTTCATTTAGCCTAGGCTTGCATACAGTGACTGAAAATCCGTCATCATCGTAACGTAATGACGCCATTTGTTTGGTTAAAAGTATGTATTTGTGAAATCATAGAACACAGTACAGTGGTGGGTAGCTTTACCAACTAAAATTCAGAATTCGTTCTACAAGGGAAAAAAAGATAATTCAATAAAAATATTCATGCTTGTTTAATATAAGCAACGTCCATCGCGGTTAAAATCTACTCGAGAGCAAAACCGCGAAAAAGACTAATTGTTTCCAAATTATCTTTCTTTTGTTCATTCACGGACCACATTTTAACGGTAAGCAATATTGGTAGTCATAAATACGCTACATACAGAATGGTCAATAGGTTCTAAACGAGCGAAAACGCCGAAAAGTCTCGAACTGTTAGAGCTTATCTGGGAGACATAATCAGCAATGGGTGTCTGAAAGAACCGTTAAGCTTTAAAGGCGTACGAAAAAAATTTTTAAGCTTTTTAAAATTCAAACTCTATTGAAAATCTTACGATTCGCCGTATGGAAATCTTCCTTGAACTTCTTAAAAGCCGAAGAAAACTGGCAATGGCATAAATCAAAAAAAAGAAAGTTTAATGTTGGTGGGGGTTTTACTCAGCTTTCGCTCGAATTACGATACGAGTAGCGGATCGACGCCAGCCCGTCATGACAAACAGCCCGTCAAACATCTGTCAGATTCGAACGTACCACAATGTATGTGAACACAGAGTGTCGTAAATTGTCAACTTACAACACATCATCCACAAGCTATTTACGAATACAGGTCTATGGATTTGAATTACAAAAAAAAAAACAAAACAAACATTAGATCAGATGAACGTGTTGAAACTTTCTTTTTGCTGTACTGACATATAAAAGCATCATTCGAGACGCTACAAAAGAGGTTCGAACATGTTGAACTCACTAATTTTTCTTTGTCGTCTATTAAGTATCCCAACAAACTACCTCTGCCCCCGAATCCTTTGAAAGGTATTTTGTAGTTATTTCTGAAAATGACGCAACGGGCCGTTAGTCAGTAAATGTTGTATTTCTTCACGAATTGGCTCTTCAATCAATTTTTTATCAAGTCTAAACGATTAGCTTTGTCTAGGACACGTTGCAGGACAAAAAAAAACAAGCGGGAGCTTTACAAGACCGATCTCGGGTTGCTATGGCAACTACGTACTATATTATAGCACAGCACACGTCTTTTCTAGGTAAGCGTCCGAAGATAACGAGCAAAATCAGATCAGAACGAGATAGCCATAGCGCAGCTATTGTATACCACTTATAAGCAATATATATAAGAGGGAAAGGATTGCCCAAATTTTGTATACAGTTTGAATTATTATCTCCATAAATGATGTAACGTTTCTTCCTCTGCCAGATATGTGAAATAATTACCATTCTGGTCTGGACCAACCTCAAGAAACCTTCCGTTGTGGCAGGCGCATTCTCGCTGAGTTACGGCCTTTACGCCGTAGACCTCATCTTTTAAGTACCCATAGAAGAAAATTCAGTTGCGAACTGCTTCGAGGAACGGGCAATATATTCAGTGGGGCCTCTTGGTCCAGCTGATTTATTCGGAAGATCCTGCTTCGTCCTGTTCAGATAAATAAAATTTGTCATCTCTCAAATGCGTGGTAAAAGAAGTTCTCGCAATAAGTTCAAATTAATGCCACTAGTCACTGTATTGTGAAAAGAAGAATGGTCCAATTCATTCATTGTAACATTACATCGTATTTCTATAAAATATACAGAGTTACAATGTAGAGTTATCAACAATCTTCCCCAAAAGCTCTATTTTCTGTTTGCATTTTCCAAGTAGCATTTACAAAACTGTTTGTTTGAGTCAAGATGCATTTGTTGGAATAAATTTTTTTTTCTATTCACAACATGTTAAAATGCGATGGACACTTAATTTGCATTATTGGGATGTTTGGCTATAGTGCTATTTCTTGGCTGGTAAAACCCGTCGATGCTTTCGGTCTTCCGGGTCGTTGTCCACGAACGCCCTGGATGGCTCCGTCTGTATTTCTAAAATTTTGATAATAGTTTACTTGGCACACTTATTGCTTCCAATTAATTATATTCCAGAACTGATGAACCAGTAAACCAGTGTTGTGCATTTTTTGGCGAAACCTGTATATATATCTACACACATATTTGGATGGTCCCAAAGGTGCTGGCCCCATAAACTGCGGCGATATATGAACAAACCATAATTTGAAATCTGTGTGTTGAGCACCACTTGGGTGGGGTCGTTCAGAACTGTGCACAAATACCATGGTGTCCTGATTTATTTCCAATCGGTTACAGCCGTCGGCCGAACTCCACCCCAAATCAAACTAGTTTATGTACCAAAAATGCTGGTTAGTTTTTGAGCGTATCTCAGTTCCAGAAATAAACGTCTCATGGGGAGATCCCGTGCGTAGGTTTGGTTTCAATTTTTGCCTGCTATTACGCAAATTCTTCGTGCAATGATATCCAGGTTTACTTGTACGCGCATAGATAGTTACAATGCTATGATAGTCATGATCGACTCGCACGGAAAATCGTGTGATGAGAAAAAAACTAACGATTTAACGTTCCACGACAGTCCCTGAAATCATTTTTAATAGAAAGTTTCGACAACTAACCCTATTCAGAAAAACTGGATGGCCAAGTCCAAGACGCGTTCCTAGTAAATAACAGGTATTTTTTTTGAGAGCAAATAATAGGTATGTCATGCTTTTTAGATAGCCGGAAACGGACAGGAAATACATTTGTCAAGAAATAGCGTCTGTGTTTTATGTTGTGTTACGACAACATGGTTGTTTCATTAAAAACTGTCTGAATAATGTAGACGAATGCGTTCATGTCGTTGAAACCGACATCTCATGGTATAGCATCTGGTATAGATCTGAATCTAAAATGGTTACTTTTTTCCTGTTTTTTTTCTTATAGAACTTTGGTAACTTTAAAGTAGACTGTACTGTGATTAAGCGAAACGCCTGCTAGGCAAAGGCACACGTTCGGAATAAACTGGCATATTTATAGAGGGCACGCTAAACGGTGTACATTGAGTTTATTCTCGAATAGTCGAAAAGCGCCGACTTCGAAAAGCGGGTATATCTACCCCGCTCCACGCATCCATCTAACAAAGAATATGTTTGTAGTATTGGTTGAGCAATAAAAAAATTCCAGTTCAATCCTGTCCCCTTTTATGTGAATACAAAATTGCTTATAATAATGCGATGATATCCTTGAATCGACTCGGGTTTATTTCAAATCTGGGATGCGGTTCTTACCCGAAAGCGGATTCAACTCAGAGTAACTAGGAACTGTTCAGGGTTTTGTCTTTGAGCGTGTGTAATGGCTCTGATATTATCTGTTTGACTTTCCTGTATCTAGGTTTGGCCGAAGGATTTGACCCACGTGCGCCTGCTACAATTCTTTTCGCCTCGCCTGCCCTCTGCTGCGAGATCGTGATAAGTATGAGTTTGTTAAACGTGAATAGTTTCTAGGGCAGAAATGTAACTCGTGAATTAGAATGCCAGCAAAACGTTTTCCCATGTTTTACGTCTGCTACTTAGCCCGGCTGCCTCACAGCAGGAAATCAACCGTGTTTACTCCACTCCTAGACCATCCGAAGCTTAGCACGTTGACACGTTAACTACCGCGCTATCACGAAGCAACGGTAGCAGTACGCTGTAAAGTGGCGCTTTCAAACGTTCCCGCCGCACAATACAGGTCCACCTCTCCTTCGTTCATTCTTTTGCCCTCAGCACTTGGCCAACGGCAGTGACCCTCCAGTCTCTCATTGAGCGTTTTGCCTCTCTCCCCCTCCTTCCTCCATGCGCTCCGTTGTCGGCAGTGGGAGACAAAATCACGCTCTATGGCTTGCAGGTCTAATACTGATTGCTGCTGATGTCTGACTCATCCATACATGTTAAGTTTGTTCATGAACAGGATCCACAACAATAGCAGCTTTGTCCCTGCCGACAAATTTATTACTAAACTACCACTACTATTGCGATTCTAGCAGGAGCATCACCGCTGGATCAGAACAGACGCGGCGTTGCCTCCGCAGAGAGAGTGCGTGTCTGCCCGCTACTGCTGCTCGCGTTGGCTGTCCATGACCGTGGCCAAGCCCCGTAAACCGTTCGGACTACGCATGTGTAATTGTGGGTTCCATAGAGATAACACAACGACGAGTCAAGCTGTTAGGAAGAAGACGGAAAATAGCTCCAGCGACTGGTATTGGCTTCTGCGACATTCGTTCAGCATTAAACGAATTGCCGTTCCAACACCTGCTGTTAATCGAATGACGTCGGCTATACGGACGACAGCAACTTCGGCGTAGAAGCAATCCGTGTCGTTGCGCGAAATGGTTATGTTTTTCGAGAGGATCCCATTGCTCGCATGACAAGGTTCGCCTTAACGTTCGCCGTCTCAACGATGACGACGATTAGTACCAGCCCGGCTTCCGTGTCGGCTCCTAACTCCGTCTCTTTCACAGACTCCGAACATTCATTCTAAAAGAAGCGCATCTGTGAAGAAGGCCACTACCCACTGTATTGCTACTATTCGAAGGACTAGTGTTTTTCATATTTGTCACACTATCGGAACCCCGTTTGATGTCATTCACGGAAACCGTGCATCCGCCACCACGAGTTTCAATGATTCCTACGAAGGTTAACTTGCTATTGGTGTTTCTGACTGTGTTCGATTAGAGGGGAAAATAGACATATCTGTCTATTACTTGGCCGCACTGGTTGTGGCATCAATAAGATCGACAACGGCTCGAGGAATATTTACGGTAGAATCAATCAAATTCGTTATAAAAGCCGCAGTAATGTCATCCGCGGGCATCCTCGCCTTCCACAACTGTGACGGTATCAAAGTGAAGGCGAAGGTAAGTTAGATATTTTTCGTTATCATTATATCATACATATCATCTACCGTTACGAACAATGCGCTATCGTTACTTCGATTCGATAATCAGCATCTAATACTAGACGTAGAAGAGGGTCAGTGATAAAGACGTTTAAGGTTGAAAGTCAAAAAATTGGATCGCCCCTTGTTTTTAAGTGTTCAGGGCGTATATAGGGGGAGGCATACATTTAGTACAGACGTTACAACATAATCTATGAGAAGTCCACTACCCTATTTATCATAACTTACGAATCACTTATTTATACCATAACCGCTTAGGTCGTTTTTTTTTTTTCGCAGTACCAATTTTTTTCGCCCTCACCATTGAGACTGAAACGATACTGAAAATGGGTCATTTTACTGCTGCAAAAGGTTTTAGCCCAAGGCCGTTACTGCGGTGACCAGCAAATCACCCAATATATATCAAGGGGAAATTGAAATAAATTAGAAGTAGTTGACGACTGACGATACACGGCATAATAGAGTACAATACAACAGCACATCCTTTGCTGGCTTTTATCGTAGCTATCATTATGTACGTGCAATTAGTATACCTTGTATTATCATATACATCAGAACGCGACACACGATGATAAGGGAGCGTACGTTTCGCTTTCTCGGCCGAAGCTGTCGCGGCAGCAGTTCGCAGACCCAATAGCAGTGTCAATAAAAGGGTAACAGCGTTAGTCGCCGTCACTTCGGCATAGGCAGGCAACTGAGCTCGCGAGTGCATCAAACGGGCTGGGTACGAACGAAACGAGTGGCAACGACCATGCGTCAGCAGAGGCAAGAAAGTACCCCGTTTGTCTGCCGTCTGTATGGGGATGTATGTTAGCGTATGATGCTTAGCTACTTATTGTAGACTTATAGCAATGTATACGGTAGGCGGATAAATAGGTGCTCGAAGTTCTGCTGCCGTGTGGTTTTGGCAAAGAAATTTTATAGACTGTACACATGTAGAATAGGCCTTACGGAACGTTCGTGTAAGACGGGTTCTAACCGACATAGATGGCATAGACTAAAGGAATACATGCACAAGTGGCGGTCGCTGTGGCTTTGTATCGACGACTCATGCTTTGCCCGGTTTCGCTGCTGCGGCGGATCCTTTCGGCTTCAAAATGCAGACGTTCTTTATCCGATTCAATGTAATAATGGGTAATAATGATAACATATGTGCAAATGGGTAAAAAAAGAGGTATAATATGATTTTGAGTCTCCGTGTGCTTGAAGATATCTAGACGAAGATATTAGATGCTATAGCAAACGTCGTGCCACTGTAGAAATGGCACAATTTTCTAAAAGAACGCGTGCGATGCGTACATCATTCAATAGATTTATTTAACTTAATTCTCTAAATTCATTGAAAACAAGCTTGGATTGAGCTCGAAAATGCTAGTTAGCGCTGCATATCGAATGATGGTAGTTATAGGTAGCTAGGATATCTTTGGATGATGTACTCATGCACACACATGTGGATATAGATGAACAGATACGGTGAATACACCCGGCTGAGTGACACACAATTAACCTCTTTGGCGCTCAAATCTGTACAAATACACAATGCTTGGTGTGATTTTCATCATCGAACGTCCCGTAAGTTGCACACTATGACAAATGATATACTTTCTACTTCGCCAGTTCACAGATTCTGTTTCGCCCCCATGCAGTCTAAGTTACTGAACTATTCTGACGAGATTGCCCCTCCATATATCTGGTTTGATCTGCGATGAGCTTCACTCGTCGTGGAATATAGCAGTTTCACCGATCGAAACCGCAATTGAGGAGTACAAATTGTGGTGTCGCTTAAGCCTTAACTGCCGCTTGTTTAATGGCCTTACTTGTCTATGCCGGCCAGTTGCTCAAATCTGAGAAGACGTTTCTGTTCTGTGCCTTTTCTGTCCTGCTTTTGTTGCTCCGCCAGCAGCGGCATCATCACCACTACTACCAAATCACAGATGGCTATCTCAGCCTATGGTGTCATTTAGGTCTAACAACCCGCTTCTGAATTGTTTGTCCTCTTGCTCTTTTGGCGTTAAGTGACTTCTCCACCTTTGATAACTAGGGACAACCTTAAGAAGCACGCACGTGCTGCGCGGTCGTGCAGTCTGCCTTTTTTAGTTTCGCCTTTTTGATGATTAGACCTTTGGATGATTTTGCTTGACGCATCGCCATATCGTCGGGCTTTGTCTTCTGCGTCCATTTAGCAAGTAACGAATAAAGAGTTCAATTTTTAGTTGAGCACGTAGTAGCTACCTTACGTCAAGCCGATCTAACAGACCGTCGGTCAAGCGCTGGCGATATCCTTCATAATCACTCGAGAGATATGATCCAGTGTAGCAGTATTGTGGGTGTTTCGCTGCGCAATGGAATAAGCCTAGTGCTTGGAAAAAAATTTGGAACCGGAAACCGGCAGTGACCGGCTCAAGCAAACGCAAATGGATGGATGCGTTCTTGAACTTAGGAATTTGTTTATGGAGTAAATTACCGTAACTTAGTATTATCTAATGCAAAGATTGTCGTGCATATACGTAAATGCAAGGATGCGAAACACATCCTTTCGTAGCAGCGCGCAGACTAAGGTCAGGTGGCGCTTGTTCAGACTGGAATCACCTTGTCAACCGAATGCCGCGACGTAAAATACCGGTGTTCATACAACAGGTGAGGTTAGCTAAAGCTGGCTTCGATCCGGCCGTCTACAGACAGTGAATGAGAGCATTTGTGCTATTTAGCCAAAGATAACCTCGAGTGTAGTCATTTAAAAATGTATGCCTACAGGTATCTTTCTAGCTCCTTTAGCGGTAGTTCAAGTTAAGCTACTGGTTCATTGCGGTTTTCAGTTTATCTCTGCGTATTTTTCAATCCTCTTGCTCTCGTTCACTTAAAGAAGCTCTTTACTAGACGCACATAATCCTGTCCGTTCTATAAGGGTTTTTGTTTCTTTCAGGGTCATTTTTCTCACTTCTGTGTGTTATCATTTTGCTCTCATCGAGCAGAGGCGGTCACTAACGGCATAATGAGAATGCGTCTTCGATCAACAACGTTCGGCCGAACGAAATAAATACGTATCTGCTGAGTGGGCGCGATGTCTAAATGATCTCTGTTTGATCGACCAAGTAAACGAAAAACGCGAATTGATCGACTGAAAACAACATAAATTACACTTGGACGTGTTAATTAATTCAACTATGCCATAGTTATTATGTGTGCTTTAAAATTACTTAGGTGACTGTTATATGTGAGATTCTAGCGAATCAACGAGCCGAAACTGTGTGTTTAGAAAAGACGAAAAATGGCTTTGGTGAGAGGCGAGCACCATTTTTGTAAATTCATGACTTGAAAGTTTAACCTCCGTATATATTCTTCAGTAAACCTTGGATTTAAATAATTTTTTTATGAACCCATGAGAAGATTTGCACTGTTTGAGCCGTTCGTGCAGCCCGGTCAGATGAGCGGTTATCTCTTGATAATACGATCACGGTATAAGTCACACTCCCATTGCCGTCATTGATTTCATCATCAACCTAATGATGTATCTTTCCACCGACAAAATTGAAAGTCCTTGAGGTCTAAGTAAGCGAAGTTTTATTCCAGTAATTCTGTGTTATTAAGCAATACGGAGTTCGGCGTGAAAGGCTAGTGAAAATCTGCTCATGTAACGTAGATGTATGCAGTGGAATCTGCGGGTACGTCGATGGTTCGATACATCGTGACATCCCTTGAAGTCAACTTGCGAGCTCATTTGTCTACCGACGAAGTTTTCAAAGGCCGCAGACGATACAGTAGGTTGTGGTAGGAACTTCCTAGAACAACACGAACCACGCGACAGATATACAAAGCTGCTCCTCTGGGGCTTTTTGGGATCAGAAGTAGCACAAAACTCCCAACGACAGATAACGAAACGATTGCGAAGGAGCCAGCTTGTATCTATACCCACCTGTCTCAACAAAACATTCGACTGATGTTTTTCCCAGTTTTGTCTATGCAGTACGTACCGATGACCACGTGCTACCTTGCTGTAAATGGACAGGTGTAAATTAAATTCACCGGCTGTTAAGTCTAGTAGCCCGTTTTGCAACTTTGTACTCTTGGGCTCATTGTTCTTTGGCTCTTCAAGAGTATTTGGACAAAACATCATGACGAAGCTAAGCCCGACGACTTTGACGGATTCGCTTATTATCCTGACGGTGCTATGAAAATCATCAGATGTATTGTCAGCGGTAGAGTTGCGTAAAAAGGTCACACGCGTGTTAAGAAGTAAAGTATGTTGTCTCATTATTCGTTCGAACTTTTGATCGATAAGTGACCTAAGCGTTCATGCTAACTCCAAACGACCGGTCATTGACTTTGAAGAGCTATCTATACTCCACCGTAATACTCCAGGTAATACCTATCGATCGACTTAGATCATAGGTGCCAGCTATCGAACCATTCTGGCTACAACTAGTGATCAACAGTAAAATGATAGGGAAGCTGAAAGGTATTTGGAAACATTTCCGGTATTCGTTCCCTATTTGTTTCTCGTATAATAAGTAGTACATAAGAAATGCAAATTTAATTTTTTCCCAAACACAATAGGCCAGAAAAGACATCCCATCTGATACTGGTATTGTTCAACGACATAGCATATCTAGACCCGTTCTCATTTTTCCCGCGTTTTTTCCAGGCGGTTTTATTGGGAGTTGGGATGGATCAGCTCGTAAATGTTGTTATCTGTTTGTAAAACTCATTGTCACTGAGATTCGTCCTATTCTTCCAAGCAAATAATCTGCTTGCTTGGAAGAGCACTTTTTTTAGGCTTCGATCGACGCTGATATTTATAGGGTATACGTAATCGCGGTCTAGTTTTTTTCTGCCTGTCAAACCCATCTATGGAACATTTAAAAATTAGGACATAAACTTTTGTTTCACCCAAGGCCTAGCGTAGATCGAAATTGATATCATTGAAAAGCCGGGTCACAATATCTCGTACTTTTTAAAACT